CACCAAAATTATTAAATCATTTTGTGAAATTAGTTAATTAATATTGTTAAGTGAATTTGTTGATCAATATATTAAGAATTTTATTGTGGTTATTAAGTGGAATTAGTTAATTAATATTAAATTAATTGATTAATATTATTAAGTAAGTTTGTTGGCTAATATTATTAAGTAAATTTTATTAAGTGATTATTAAGTGAAATTAATTGATTAATATTAAATTAGTTGATTAATATTATTAAGTAAGTTTGTTGGCTAATATTATTAAGTAAATTTTATTAAGTGACTATTAAGTGAAATTAATTGATTAATATTAAATTAGTTGATTAATATTATTAAACGAATTTGCGTTATTTGATGGCGCTACTTTGATTTTTGCTGCCAACACTATCTTTGGGTGTGTTTGTTGTTTAGTTTGATGATTAACTTGGCTCTTATTTACTTTTGATATTATCGCCGCTAAACTGTTTGGAATTACTTTCATATGTAATTAGTTGCATATTACAGGTGCAAGAATTTTGCAATTCAATGGAAACATACGTTGATTGTTTCATACGTTGCAAATATTCCAATGTTCTATCGAATCGCTGGTTAGCAGTACGACTGGAATTTATCGGGAATTGTGTTGTACTTTGTGCAGCACTATTTGCAGTTCTCTCGCAACATTGGGGTGTTGCAGTGAGTGCTGGAATCGCAGGATTGAGTGTTAGCTATGCTCTAAATGTAAAGCACTTTTTTTTTTTTTTGCTAAAGCACATTTCATTAATTCATTTAAAAGTTGGCATTCATTTCTGTTACCTTAAAATTCATTACTTTTCAAGTTTTGATAAGGGAATTATTACTAAAAAGATAGGGAATTTGTGCTTTTGTTAAGATAATGTCCATAAATTTTGAGCATTCTGTCTGTCCACTACACAATAACATTACATTCCATTGCGAGTTCATTGCAGATCACGGAAGCACTAAATTTTGCCGTACGATTTATCAGTGAATTAGAAATGAATATAGTAGCCGTTGAACGCTTGAAAGAATATACCGAAATACCAACCGAAGTTTGCAGTTATATTTCCATTGAAGAATCTCATTTTATGTTGACGGTTCAATTCCTGATTTTTTTTCTTTTTAAAAACAATAAAATGCTAATTATTAATTGCTCTCCTATACGTTAAGATATTGCACGCATTCTTGTCCGACTATTTTTAGGCTGAATGGAGAATTGATCACTTCAAGCCAACGAAGAATTGGCCAACAAAAGGACAGATATCATTTAAAAACTATTCAACGCATTATCATCCTAAGCTTGATTTGGTTTTGCGTCAGTTGAATGCTTTCATTGTGCCGGCTGAAAAAATTGGTATTGTTGGTCGTACAGGAGCAGGCACTTTTCATACACATCTAACAATTTTTAGAAAGTATATATAATGACCGTATATTGACATCTTCCAGGAGTAAAGTTCATCAAATGGGAAGTGCAATTTTTTTCACTCGACATGTTATCTTATGCAATTACATTCTACATTTAAGAGTAATTCTAGGTAAAAGCTCCTTAGCACTGGCATTATTTCGAATTATTGAGCCTGTCAAAGGTACAATTATTATTGATGATATCGACATTTCAGTTATAGGCTTACATGACCTTCGCTCGAACCTCACAATCATTCCACAGGTTTATTATCTCTTCAGATATTAAAGGTTAAGCAAAAAAAAAAAAGTTATTAGGGTACTATGATAATTTCATCAAATGAAATTATCTAGTAATTTTAACTTTTAGTCCTGAAAGTGGATAGTTTGTTTTTGCGATTCTTTTAGTATGGCTTCGAATTTCACTTCTGCACCTTCAGTTATAGAAGGCGTAGTTCCAGGATCCTGTATTATTTTCGGGAACACTCCGATTTAATTTGGATCCATTTCAAGTGTATTCTGATCAGGAAATATGGGCAGCTCTTGAGTTGGCGCATTTGAAAACATTCGCATCAAGTCTTGCTGGAGGCTGGTTGTTAAAAATTTTACGATGGATCTTACTGGTCCATAATATAATTTTTACGTTGACGCGATAACACGAGTTTGTGACATTAAAGATGGTTCATTGGAAATTGGAAACTTTTTTCTTGCTGTTTCCAAGCATTATTGATAAAATGTTTCATGACATTTTAGGTAGTCACAGTTTATCCGAAAATTTCCATTTAGTAAGAAAATATTTGAAATAATACTGTCTAATTAGCTTGAAAGTGTTCGGACATTTTCAAGCTAGTTTTTTAAAACACTAGAAAGCTATGAAAAATACTTGGAGATGTTCAGAAGTTCAATATAAGCATTATTACAAGAAACAACTGCCTTTCTAGTTATCGTACTTATATTAACTTGCTTTCCAGGCTTACAGTATTGCATCAGCGAAGGGGGTGAGGATATCAGTGTTGGACAGCGACAACTTATTTGTTTGACTCGTGCACTTCTTCGCAGAAACAAAGTTTTAGTTTTAGATGAAGCTACAGCTGCTGTAGACTTAGCAACTGATTCATTGATTCAGGAGACAATTCGTCGTGAATTTCACAGCTCAACTGTCCTAACCATTGCACATCGTTTGAATACCGTAATCGATTACGACAGGTACTTCAATTAGTCTTAAACGAATGAAAAGAGGTGTAAAGTTTTTACCAAATCTTAGTATTTATTTTATTTACTGTCGTGAAACTTCTACAACTTCTCATGTCTTGTATTCTGAGTCCATAATTTCAGCTTCGTATAGTCTTTTAAAGACCTTTTAGTAGCGAAAAGTATTAAATATGAGCCGTTAATTCCGCCCTGGAACTTCCACTTCATTCAAGTAGTAAGTTCCTCTTCTTTCAGAATAATAGTCCTTGATAATGGTTCAATACGGGAATTTGATTCACCACAGAATTTGCTCAGCAATCGTTCTTCACTCTTTTTCTCCATGGCACGTGGTGCTCAAATTGTCTGTTAAATTTTATTTTTCCACAAAACCTGATATTTAATGGATTTTGTATTTTTTTTATCGCAATTTTAGAAAATATTATTTAATTTATGATATGCCCTGTATCACTTAAGTACTTGCATTCAGCTAGTTGAACATTTGCAAACAATAAAGATGTTTGAATGCCACACTCTCTCCAGACATAATGCCTTCAGGTGACCTTGCAAAAGAGGAAGATTGCACAGTGACCGTCCTATATTAATAATAGGAAATGCCTTTGGAATGAACGAGACAAATAATGATACGGGCTAACAATTTTGAAATATTTTTGAGCGATTCCATACATACATAAGTACAAAACTTTATAATGACTCTTCTTTCACTTTTCATCCATGAAGATTACTCTGGCTTCACGTGGAAGAAATCAGTAATTCGAGAATGCAACGTGATTTGAAATTGAAATATTTTATCCACATGAGATTCACTGGAATGGAAGAGCAGGATGAATCAACAAATATTTCAGGACACGGACTATTTCGCATTTGTTTAATTCGGTATTGCAAATGAGTCTTTCCACAGATCTCAAGAAAAAAAATAAATTTGGAAATTAAAGAGAAAAAATTGCGATATTATAATAAATGTAAGGAAAAGAGGGCAAAAAGTATTCAAGATAACCTCAACATGCATAATAAAATACCGCGGAGCAATGCTGGAAATTATATTGTATTCTGGAATATAGTAAGTTTAGTAGTTATTGTAGTAGTTCCAAACAAAATTATGTAAGGAACGGAGATTTGAGTTAGCTGTGCTGATCATAAAGTAAGAGTAAGTGGATTTATTCCGAATGAAATGATAATTTAGTAAAGTCAGAGAAGTAAAAATTAATAATAAAGAGGGTAATTATCATTTCAATGGATCATTCGTCGTCCTCAGTTATTGCTGATATTTGTGTATTTATTAAGCGAGACTTTCATTCATACTGACAGACTGTGGCGGTGGCTCATCAACTTGAAATAGCACTGAGTTTGATAATCCACGACTGATATCATTCGCAGGTTTTGACTGCTGATATGTCTGCCGAAAAAAGCATTAAAAAAGAGGTACAAGAAAATTCGATACTTTAGAAAGAATATTATTTCGATTTTAAAAAAGATACTTTACTTCTGCGCTACTAATACTGGACCAAAATTTCAATTGCATTATGGTAGCAAGAATAGTACTTAAACTACCACTCTTGCCATTGCTAATCCGACTTTTTTGTTTAGAAATTTTTTACAAAACCTTATTAAGGTCATCATCAATCATTTTCAAGTCAATGCTGCTACCACTTGGGTCACTCTCAATCGGATGTATCGGTAGTTGTAGTCGTTCGCGATGCAACAAATGCAACTGCTCTTGGTTATCAATCTGGAAGTGAATAGTAACAAATCACGAATTAGACTCATCAAGAGTTGCTCCGCCAGACACAGTATGTATCAAAGTCCCACCAGAATTATCTATTAGTGGATGTGATAGGAAGTCGAAAGTGCCTCAGTATCAGTATTGTACCATGTCAATGTAGTACTTACTATTGGTCCGTCTAGAAGATTGGGATTTTCAGTCCTTTCCCAGTGATCACTGTTAAAAACAAATGGTGCAAGTGTTCGGGGTACACTATCATCTGGTCCACTACGAACAACTGGTATGCTTGGACTTTGGTGAAAAGCTTCTTCTGGCACTGTGTTGATCTGTGGTAGAACCTGCAATGAAAGGAATGCTGTTGTGCGGTACTCTTCAACATTTTTTGCAAAACAGCATAAAAGTAGTGATCAAATTGCGATATCGTTAAACAATATCTGCCGGCTATTAAGGTATTGCCGCACCACTTGTGGTTGTTGTTCCTGTTGTTGGGCAGAGATCGATAGAGATTTAACTTGATGGTTTAGGACCATTTGGCTTTGTAGCGAATCCGTTATCTGCAAAACCAATAAGCTGGATTTCGCGAAATCCTTGCAAATGCTCAAATAATTTCAAAAAGTAATCAGTACTCCAGAAATACGAATTTATCAAACAGAAGCAAAAAAGAGGTACCTGAGGCTGTTGTCCAGGACTTTGATCTTGAGTCTGTTGTGGCAGTACAGGTCCCCTCACTTCAAGCGACTGACTAACAACAGTGTTTGCAATTGGCTGCTGCCGTAACCGCTGGTTGTTGATGTGTTGGCTGTAGTATCGCATCCACTGATCGTTTCCATTATTGTTGTAAATATAATTGTTAATGTTATCATTTGGCAAAACAACCTGGGTCATTTTCTCATCCAAATTATCCATAATGTTTGCCTGGAAATGATTTATCATTTGTTACCATCCTTCTCTCTCTTCCTCTCTTTCTTCATTAATATTTGCAGATAGTTTGATTAAGTTAAATAGTAGGATTAAAACAGTCGACTATATTTCAAAACATTCCTCCTAAATGTTAATTATCGCAGTGATTTTTACAACAATAGTGGCTGATTTCTTCTTCAAAATGACAGCGGTCTTTTTTAACCGCACGTTAAGAGGCGGTATTAAATGTTTTGAGCACATTAAATGCACATCAAAACACATTAAATGTTTTGAGCATACAGAGCAATGAATGATTATTCATTAGTTGTTGTCATCTAGCAGATGGCACTTGCGGAAACAGTGGGTGATTCAGGAAGCATATCTCACAACAGAGACTTGCTAGGCAAATAAAGATTTAGCTAGCTCACCGATCTTGGATGATCAGTCTCTCTGCCACAAAGTTTCTCTGTATGCTACCTAAAGTCGAGTCTGCTTTCAAAGTAACTGTCGATGAGTGTTCGGAATGAGTTACCCTCTGAATGTTCCAGTTGCTTGCTTGCCATGTTTGAGGATATTGAGACAAAAGCTGCTGCTGTCGTCCTGGTCCTTGCCATCCATTTTGCGCCCATTGGTTGTCTGCTTCACTCTGAATACTATTTTGCCAGTTACCGCCTATCTGAACATTATTCTGCCATTGGTTATTATTTTCCCACGTCGGGACAAAATTCTGTTGCATTACAGGTATGGGCGGACGGTTGTTTGACCATTGAATACTCTGCCATTGATTAACTTTTTCGTTGTTATTCTTGTTATAGGTTGGAATAGGCCACTGCCAGGGGTTATTCCACTGCGACTGTTTGCTGATTTGCTGGGCCAAGTCAAAGAGACGAGATTGCGACGAATCGCTCCAAGCCATATTATTATTGTTATCCCAGACAGCAGGTAACAGTTGTAACCGTTGTGGTTCCAAAAACGGTCCCAGCACAAACATCGGTTCACCCTTAGCCATATCATCTTGTGGTGGTCCAAAGAACTGATTTCCCAACGTCCGACTGAAACACTGGTTTTGATTTAGTAGCTTCAAAAATTTTCTCGATATTTTCATTATGTGTAATATAATAATTTCAGATATCAACTTCCCATTATTGAAATAGTAAATAGTTCATTTTTTACTTTTTCAAATTTGAGAAATTCCCTCATACCTTACGTGGTTGTCAACCGCATTCCAGCGCAAGAGGTCAGACAACAGACCTGGACGGAAAGATCTCATTAAATCATTTGGTTGCTGCGGGCTAATTACTGGTTGGAGTTGGCTTTCATCTGATCCGTCAAACAACTATAACGGCTTAATCTAAGCAGTTTCAGTAATTTACCATTGCTTAATACAAGAAGTAAAATTCATGTAATTTTGTAGAGTTTTAATTGTAACATAAAAAAACTAAGATTATTGTTAAATGGAAGTTTATATGGCCCATAAAAAGTAAAAAGATTGTTTAGTAATTTATGCAAAGAGAAATTGTTTTCACTGAATCTGACATAACATTCACCTGTTTCGGTTCCACTTGCAACACCTTCACCTGCATAAAGCCTTCAATTCCAGATTTTTCCGCTTGCTCCTTGATTTCTGAGATAATTTTGCGCAAGAAGTCAAGACGAGAATCCTAGAATGAAAAAGTACTGTAGCTACTGAATTTCCAAATCATCATTCTTCTCTCAAAGATATTTGATATTATTTCGAGCAGTTGTCGCACTAAAGGCATAAATATGTCGAAATCAGATAAAAGGTGTTAATAATTTCGCAGGTGAATTGAATGGCATACTTTAACAATTGGACTGTAAGCCTACTTCAAAGTTCTGTTTCCACAGCTGCGCGTTACCAAAGCTAAATTGCGCTGAACGTTAATAGCGAAAATTAAACCAAACAGGAATTATAGCATATTTCGCAGTATTTCTTCTTATAACGAATTGAAACGAAAGAGACAAACTAAGATGTTAGAGACTTACTGTAGTTTGTGGTTGGTCAATTAATGACCCCGATTCGGAACGTTGTGATGTTAATGTGGCGGATGCTGACTGTCCACTTGTTTGTGGTTGTCCTGCCTGCATTGCTAATGCTGCTGATGGTGCTGCATTGTTTGAATTTTCAAAAACTCTTGAAGATCTATAAAGGCAATACTACTGAACCTGCATTTATATTACGTTTGCTTTATTTGGGTCTTATTCCTCTTAAGTCTCCCTCCTTCATCCTTCAAGGAGTTATTTCAGGTTGGACATTTTTCGAATGAGTGATTTAAACAAATTTAAAAAAACGAATTGAAGAACTTATTTTTAAATTCATAAATTGTATTACTCTGTGTTTCTACATCAGCAATATCAAAAAGATTTCTGGAAGACCCCGTTTGTTGTTTATGAAATCTTACTACATTTAAAACATCTGTCACAACATTCTTCTACCATATTTTATAAAACCGTTACCGTTGTGGATAGAATGATTGAATTATACGAGCACTCATACAGTCGTCGCATTCAACTCCTATTCGATGTTTCAATTCAAACCTAAATTTAAAAGTTTCCAAAAATGAGAAACTTTCAGAACTCGCCAATTCCCGTTAAGATTGGAATAAAAAAAAGCTTGGAATACAAAGACACAAGTAAACACAAGTCAAGTAAATACTGAAGTGAAAGTTTTCTTTTTAATTATGATTATTAATACTTCTTGCAAATTATCAAATAGATTGAATTTCAAAAGTTTTGACTACTGATAAATATTGGACATCCTTAAAATACCAAAATGCTGATTTTAAATCTACAAAAGTCATACTTACACAGCTTTTACACTGTGAAAATCCGTTAATTTATTGATGCCAAGACATCAGATGTTAGTCTAAAATTTTTTCATAATTTCGACCAATTGATCATAACTGCTCCTAATATATTCTCGTTGCTTTCCTAAACTCGCGCTGAAGCAAAGAAGAAAAATTACCATGGCAGTCCCAAATCATCAGGTATTCTATAGTATACCAATTTGCTGACAATAATTGCAGATAAAAGAATAAAGAATATTGTTCCCAAACACATCAAATAGTTCTGAAAATTCAAGTCGGATAGCGCCTTATTTAAGCCCCAAAGTAAAGCAACCTGCATAATATCTTGTGACCTTAGTAAAATAACTTACATGATATCTTGTGAGTCTAGTAAAATAATCTTCACGATATAGCTATGACCCTAGTAAAATAACCTTCACGATATAGCTATGACCCTAGTAAAATAACCTGCACGATATCGTTCTGGTTCTAGTAACATAATGTGCTGCATGTCTGGCATACCAATTTTTGTATAGCATGTAAATATTTGAATTCAAAAGAAAATCTATTTCTAGAAAGTATAAATATAGCTGGGATATTAAGAAGGCTGAAAATATAGATAAGAGAATATGCATAAATGATTACGCATAGTACCATACAAATATTTTCAACACTTACTGAGTCTGAACTTAATTTTTTGGTACCAATTTTCACTTCCCTACTTTTTATAAAATTGTCTTTCGACAATGCATCATTCACTTCTCGACGTTTCGCTAATCATAGACATCTTGCGTATCAGAGCACTTTGAAGTCCCTATGAACTTTCATAAAATCGTTTACTTTATATGAAGTTCGCTTCTTCTCGAGTGTGATAATGGGTGTTGATGCCAGAGTAATTCCATCGGGAGATACTGGATTATCTTTGATCGATGGTTTCTCATCCATACCAACAGTAAATATTTTCATTTTTCCTGCCTGCAAATCCAGTAAAACGAATGGTCCTTCCAAGAAGCGCATAATTAATTTGTTTAATGACTCAAAAACAGAAAGGAGAAGTAAAATACGAGAAAACGCAGCATTTTTTATTCGAAATTTAATAGGATCGTTGTAAAAAGTATGTCGAAATTGAAGTTCATAGAAACGATTAAAAGTTATATAATCTCAGAGGAAAAGGTGAGAGGGGAAAACGGGTTATAACGTTATTGTGACCAGGACGTTTATAGGGGGGAGGAGGGGGGAAGTTAAAGGCTACTGTGACACTTTTTGGATGACAAAATTGGTCGTTTTTACGGTTTTAATCTCATTAAAATCCCCAAAAAAAGGATCTGGTGAGCATGTTTTGGCAAATAATGATAATGAAGTAACTAACACCTAGAACTTAAAGTTTAAATGTTCCAAGCAGATGGCCATAAATTTGAGGACAAAAATTTTTAAGGTTAACAGAAAAATAGTTGCTTGTTTCTAATAGAATCAAAATAATTTATTAAATTCAATTAAATGTCCATTATTTTTGAATGCAAAAGTTATTGGAATTGAATCATAAACAATAACTTGAAACGGATATGCAGATATTTCCTGCTTTAAAATATACGACACTCTCAGTAAACAGGTCAACGGGATCAGAAAACAGAAATGAAATGGTGGAATGACAATGGAAGAGGAAAGAGGACGGTATAATATTCAGCATAATTATATGATCATAAGCCTGTTCACGTTTTACCAAATAACTGACTCGAGAAATCCTTCTTCGCTTAATTTTTCATCATTCAATTTTTATTCACCATTACTTATTGCTCTTTGCTTTTCCCTGCATTCTTCGCTTACTCAAAATAGATGAAGTTAGGAATCATAACTGGAAACGTACAGATATTCCAAATATACAAGTAATTTGAAGATTAGAATAAATGAATTGGAAATTTTTTCCCATTTCTAATTCCACTGTAATGGTTAATATAAATCGTACGAACACCGGACAGATGTATTCACCGGATGATGGAATAACATTGGCCATTGTAGAAGGGAAGTTTTCAATCTCTAGGAATTTACAATCTTTCCATCTCTTTCCCTCTCAAATTTAACATCATCAATTTCTTAATTACTTGTTCTACAATTAGAACAATGAATTAAAGTTAAATCTGGAGAATGTAAAAAGGACCAAAAATGAAGAAGAATCAATCATATTAGGGTATATATCCAAACAAATATGCAGCACAACATAGAGTTTTCGTGTTCTGAGGCGAAAGAAGAGGCGATGGAGCAGCGGAGGGACGATGGATGGAGCGGTGAGAAACCAGTTTCCGCTTCTGTTTATCCTCCAGTTCACTGTCACCCTAGCTCTACTCTCACTTCCAGACCTTTCACCCCCTACCCATCGATCCATTTCCAATGATATTAATTATCAATCCTTTGCTTGGAAACTGAGCAGTATTTATTTGTTCCACTTTTTTCCTTTATCCTATTCCATCTTTGTAATACTCCGAAGTATTGTATTGATTTCTTCTTGTATGTATTGGTAACAGTAACGAAGTATTGACAGAATTTCGTACAGGAAGAACTGACAGGTTCTCCGTCGATCAAGTCACTGATTTATCATTAAGGCAGCGCAGTATTGCTTATATCGTAATTTATCGTAATTAATGTCACCTTCTCTTTCAAAAAAGGGTGATTGTTTACTTACATAAACTCAATTTTTTCCTTCATCTTCCGAAATGAATTGCTGGAATTAACTCCACTACACGACTATATTTGTCCCAAAACTATAACATTGCAATATTTCGAGGATTCAACAAGTGGCAATGCTAATTAATTACTGCAACTGCCATCGGAGAAAGGCTAATGGTGCAAGATATATTTTGATAAAGGCTGAACTCCAAGCTCCAAGATTATTAGAAGGGCAATTCGAAAGAGGACAGATATGTGTATAATTTAAGTGCAGAAAAATTTGAAAGCAGTTGCGAGTTTAGTTTATAGCGCTGCGCTGATCATTCAGTGATAATATGAAGACGGGAGATTATCTTCTTTTTAGATTATCTCAGAAGAACTGAACTGGGAAAATTCCGATGTTTGTGAAATATTCGAATAGACGAATTCATTTTAACTTAATCCATGGAAATTATAAAAGCTCTCGTCATTTTAGTTTATGATAACAGCTCAAAGTCGAAAGAGTAATAAAATCATTACTCTTTCACTAAATCTCGAATTCTAAAATTATGTGCATACGATGTCAACACAGACAAAACATGTCAAACAAAGGTGGGAAGTGGGATTCTTAAAATCACCATTCCTGCATATAAGTCAGCATTATTTCCAAGAAAACATTTAAATATTAATTACTTTGTACAATAGCCAAATTTCCTTACAAGTTCAAAAAAGTTTAAAAGTCCTGGAACAACTCCCAAGTCTATGATTTTATAAGTCTTAAAGTCCTAAATCTGTCCTAAATCTATAAGTCCTCAAAAGAATTACTTTTTAGAAAACTAATTAGGAATAAGTGCGACCGGAAAGTTTGATTGTCACATGATTGTAACATACGCATTTCATACACTAATCTCCAAAAAACATAAGGTCTGTTCTAATTAAACGGATATTAATACATTTAATATTACTAAACTATTGATATGCCTTTTCAATTTTCTGAAATACCCCCTCTTTGAAAAATTTAAAAATCACTCTGTCGTATGGTATTCAGTTCGCTTGAAATCAGAATATATCCATTTTTCCAAACAATAAAAATGACATCATGATCTTCAAACCTTTTCCTCAATCTGTTCGTCTGATTGAACTGGTCATGATATCCCCATACGCCGCTTTTTTTTTGCTTAAAGAATGCAATAATTAATGTATAATACTTCATTTGTTAAGTGTTCCTTATCATTACAGTGACAAAAAGGAAATAAAAACAATTTATTGATTCCGAAGAATGTGAGGCAGAAATTTTTTTGAAACTTGAATGATACCCGAAATTCAACTAAATATCAGTCTTTTCGGCTGATGGTTTACATAAAGGAAAGGTTCATAGACAGGAAGGATGCAAAATATGCCATTGTCCATGTGAGGGACTAATACTCACTTCAGTGAGTATAGGTCTGGATAAGACGGAAAATTCACTGACGTTTGCAACAGTAATGGCATCCTAATAATAGTAACTATGAAAATCAAGATAACAGTGTGGATAAAAGTGATAAAAATGGTGATCATAACAATAGCGATAGCAGCAGAGAGAGTATCAATATTTGAATCCTCCGAGATACTGTTAAGATTTGGTCTCATTTGTTAGCATGTTGAAAATAGCCTCTTCCTTCTATTTTTTATTAAAAAGTAAATTATAAGAAATGTTTTGATGTTTTTCAATCTTCAACAATCTTCAATTCTCCAATGATAAGATAAGCTTTAAGCTCAATTGGGAATCGACATTTTCCGACAAATGCGTCAAAGCACGTTTATTTTTTGTCAACAAAAAATATCTGTTAGAAATTTTATTTTTATAAAAGAATTGAGAAGTTTAATTCTTTTTTGGGAAATTCTTTCAAAAATTTCAAAAGAACAGTCTTGAATTGAAACGAAGCAATCTTCGACTCTGTGACATTTATAGGTAAAATTAATATAAATTTGTCTGAAATTTTTTTTGTCTGAAGTTTTAGTACAGTGGAAAGATGGATGAAAAAGGGGAATGAAAAAATCAGATAATGACTCAGAATGGAAAAAAAGAAAAAAAAAACTGCAACATTAGAGCTCCCTTTGGTTTTGCTCTAAACACTGAGAATGTTAAAAATTTATGCGTAATTTACAATATGCACTTCGTGATTCTGGCCCAAATGTCGTGTGCCATTATATTTGCTGGAGCAGAAAAATACGGAACTTCATATTTTGTGCCTATGGCCCATATCTGTTTAATCTTTAAATGATTCCTGTAAAGGTGAAGTGACCAAGGAGCTTTGCAGTAATCATTTAAGGATTAAAGTAATCTGAATTTACGCAGAGTTAATTTAAAAAATCCACTATTACAAGTTCTTCTTATATATGCTTCATTACGTTCAAGCAACATTGTGACAAATAAGCGCAAAAAATTTTTGCTTCTAAAGTTACAGATCTGCTGAAAATTATTATGTTTATTTCCAACTTTTTTTAAATCTTTTAAATGAATTTTTTAGAATTTTATGAATTTTTTATTTTCTAAAGACAATAGAACACTTTTATTACTCTTTTCTAAAGACAATAAATGTCCCAAAATATTGTTGCCTGTTGTCTTGTTGTTTCACAATCAAATTAACAAGAAGACAAGTTGTCCAGCAACGATCATCAAATGACCAAATTGGTTATCATTATTGGATGATTTCTTTCACTGAAATCTATTATAATTAACTTAAGTTTCGCTGTTCTTAACCCCTAAATATATATTTAAAAAAAGAGAGCATCAAAGAGATAATTATTTGTAAACAGCTTCAAAGGTAACCGACTTAAAATAAGCCCAAAGTTAGTTGAATTACTGACAAAGTGCACAAAATACGTAATTTTGAAGAAAAAGATAGGATGGTATAAAGAGAGAGATAAATAATTGTTTAAATAGACAGGTAGATGGGTCGTCAGGTGCAAAACAAACTTTACAGTTTGCATAAATTAAGCAAAGAGAAATTGCAACAGTTTGGATGGTGGTAAGTTGCTCATCTCAATGCTTCGCAGGTAGTATATTCTCAACATTTCACCACTCGCATTTGTTTGTTGAATTAATCATCGAAAGTTCAGAGAAAGTAAAGGGAGATGCAGTTTTACAAAAATGAATAGTTAGCTTTAGCGAGAACAAAAATTGAAAAGGGGCGGAAGCGGAAAAGGATTGCATATTGGAGCACAGTGAAAGTCATCATCTTAAAAATTATATAATATTCAAAACATTTATCTCTTAAAATAGATGCAATCTCTTGTAGTAATCGATTGGTGACGCTCTTTTAAATATTTTGCAGGAAAGTAAGCTTCCAGAAAGTAAGCCCTCTTTTAGGCATTTGATATGTACTAGAAGCACCGGATATTTCTAACACTAGAATCGGTATGGCCTAATCTAGGAGAAAAACAATAACACAGTTCTTTTTCTGGTAGGTTGTTTAAAAATATAGCGTAATTGGATGTTAAACATCAAGACGATTTTTATTTTAGCATGAAAATAATAAAAAATATTAATAGTTTTTTAATCCAAAAGATATCAAAATGCGAATATTCGAATTCAAATGATATTCAAATTTAATCAATTATTCCGAGGAAAAATCGTTTTATTTGGTGCAAAACTATTTTTTGAAATACAAAGTTTAGTTCTTAACAGCAATGATAATTCTGTAATTCTGTAATTTCGTTCCATTTTTTTGGTATTAAGTAAACATTAAGGATTTCAACAAACGATTAATAAAAATATGCGGAACTTTGATTTTTCATATCCCAAGATTACCGAGATTGTTTGCAGTAGAAGAAGCTTACAAAGGAGGCATTTCGAAAATGTTGCTGAAAATGTTGATAATATTTTGGCAGGAATTTCTCGTTGAAATGTTGTTGCCTTTCAAAGAAACTATATTTATAATATATTTGTAATCAGAAGGTACTGATCGTATTTATCAGCGTAAATTAACCACAGCAATTAAACTTCATTATTTTAATTATTATATAGCTAACACGCATACAATCCCTTCCGTTCACCTAGAGAAAAAAATTGCATATTGATTCCTCGGGATATTATTCGCGTGGCGGAAAACTTAAAAGTTTAGTATGAAGTTTGCTTGAATTTAGGGATAATTTTGATGTGGGATTCAAATGCGCCTTTTTAACATGAAAGTTTATACATAGAATACCGAAAATTTCTCTGGATCTCTGCTTTGATCTTTAAATTTCTAAAAATATAAAATTATAAAAAATATTCCTTGACTGTCTGATAATAATGGATGGGATGGGAAAAAATAATCAGCTTGGCTATTATGACAAATGATAAAAGTTCGACAATATTTTTTGACAGTTAAACAAACATTGAATGGTATTCAAAAAAAGCTTCGATAAGATTCGTTTTTCGTGCTTCGAACTTACTTCTCGAATAAATGAGAAATGCTTTTCCTGAAAAGATTTCATCATGGGCTGTTTACGATTTTCTCCATATTTGATGCAAATTTTGGACAAAATCTTATTTACAGAAACCATTTCCAGTTATCAAATTTTATACTCTTTTCTTTTCCAAACATCATTATAATCTGTTCTATTCGAATTAAGTGTGATATTCAAATGAAATCATCAGATTTTTCGCTGTTGCCTATAAAAAAGTCGAAAAATGTGGTAACAGATGTTCAACAAAAAGCACAACAGAGAGCGATGATGTAATCGGATACTGTAAAAATACTGAGACTCTAAAATTTCGGAAAAAAAGTAAATCATTGCATTAAACAGAAAGTTCTGGAAATAATTTTCAAAGAAAAGAGATACGAGGATTTTATTTGTCATATCATGCATGTCGTTATGATGTATAAAGGAAGCAAAAGATTATGGAAGAGGAACATATGAAGCTATGAGAATGTCAATTAGTGAACTCTTGATGTAACTGTCCGGATACTCGTTATTGAATTCAGTTGTTTGCATATTTTGTGTCACGATTGTAGCCAAAATATTAGATGCCAAAATACTAATGGCAATGACTGGTTGATTACAACCGGTCTGTCGGTTATTACCTTCCACTTCATCCATTATCCATCAAATATGTAAACAGATGACCTACTATCTCTCATGTCAATGTTGATCGTTCCATCTCAATACTTTCGTTACAAATATTTATTTTCAGTCCAACGATATAAGAGGAAATGGAGTTGTGTTAACTAGTTCCATAATGAAAATAAATTTCATTCAAATATAAATCGATCTAACTTTATTTATTTTGGACATGAAATTAGATAGGAAACACAAAACTGTCTGCTGGTACCCACCAGCAAAAAATCTTGAAATAAAAGTGGTAAGCCATTTGCAAAGGGAAAAATCAACCAAAATGAAAGTCTGTAAGAGATTAAGAACGACAAGTACTTGAATGACACCATTACACTTCCCTATGAAATAACAATTAGTCGACCTAAATAACAATATTTCAGGTTATAGTTACTTCAAACATCTCATCTCTTTCTTCGAAAACAATCATTAATGGACCTAACACTACATTCCCTGCGCAAATTTCCATGATTTTTCGGCTAATAACCCTTGATATGTTACAGAAACTCATTTGATAAATTTATCTGGCGAAGCATTGGATTCCAAGAATCCGTGAATCAGTGCCAAAATTGATATTGATGTCTTCACTTAAACTCCAGATAGAACTGATTGATAAATTTATCAAAAAGTGACCAGATACTATTATCATTAACAATCGGTCACTGGAGCTTATGATTTCATGGTAGTCTCTAATGAACGGAGAAATAAAGCTCAAATTAATACAACAATTATGATTTAATGGTGGGTTAAATCGAAACTAAGGATAGTAGTAATACAGTGATATTACAGTAGAATGGTAGACGATTATTCATTTCTGATCTTCTAGTTTTCGTGCATATTTTCTAATGAAGTAATCAAGACAGTAATGGCTATGCAGTATGAATGATAAGTGATAACATAAATAAATAATGTACCTATCTGATTTAAATCATTCCTCCTTTCTCTTTTGTTTACAAAGGAAAGTGACAACAGCAATTAAACTTTGCAATATTTTTCGGTGAATTTAGAATTTCTTCGCCAAATTTTTTGATTCAGAAAAGTAGAATAGCAGATTATGAATCATTCTTCTTGGTGACAGATCACCGCTAATTCTTAAATGTGTCAGGATTTGTCAAGTTATTGTTACAGCAACGACCATTTTGGCGTAATGATAATGATGACAACAATAGGATGAAGAGTTACGATAGATAGATTATTGAGAAAATCTGTGATACTAGAAAGAAAAGTATGACTCGCGGCAGAAATTTTTGCCTAGAACAAAAAAAAACAAAAAACGAACCATTTTTTATTTACAAATCATTTTGGTTAACAATGATGCAAGTAATTAGAAATTATAACGATAACGATAGTGTTGAGAATAGCAATAATGATAATAATGATTATGGCAGTCAGGAAGACTTCCGGTTTATTGTGTTTCAAATCAATTCAACTTCATCTGTTCTTTGTTAGACAAAATCATATCCTCCAATAAATTGTGGGACAAAATTTGAATAATCATTGTTCTAGAGGGAGAGACTACCTTCTCATTAAAATTTTCGTATTTATGCACACCTAATCCACTGTCCTCATTGGTACCACAGAAAGCATTAAATTAGTAATAGATAGTGGTTGGTTTCACATGGGATTCATATTTAGTTGCAGACATTTATAACTTAACCTCACTAAAAACAGTTGTCAAATTGGTACAGTTGTTTTTGATGCAATCCCAAATTTTGGAAAAAAATCGTTCATTCCATATTTATTGCTGTGAACAGTAGTGTACTATATTACCAGAAAAAATGCATGATAAAGTACTGGAAGATAACAGGTTCCATAAACTTGAGACTCTACGATTTTTCAGCTCGAGTAAAACATTTAATGGAGTAATAAAATACACTATCAATTGCTTTCGACAAAACTGGGAAGTTAAAACTTTTGGCTTTGAATTGTTTGCTTCGTCAGTACCCTCTCAAATGACATCAGTGTCAAATCTTTTCTAAAAAATTTTCTAAAATCCTTGAATAGTTTCAAACAAATTGAAGATGTAATCTAAGAAGCGAGGAAGAAAAGATGATAAAAAAAGGGAGTGATAAATGATCCAGTGAACTGTTTGCAGTACTGAACTCTACAAATTTCTTTTATGCACAGCCAAGTCAAATGCTCTTTCATCACTGTACAACATCGACTCTCGACTTCACATACGATAAAGGTATCTGATAATAATAAACATAAGTGCTTTCCGTCTTGAATAACTCTTTTTTCTTTGATATTAAAGAAAAGTAAAACAAAATCATTCCACTTAAGTCGCATTAACTATTTCAGATCCCGTATTTACTTAAAATTTCTTTCATTGTGCTATTAAAATATCAGCTCTTGAATGAAGAGATATAAATACAGGACATTCATATGATGTAGGTCGTTGACTCACACATCTCTTCATAAAACTATCTACATTTTTAGGATGAATGAAAAAGATGATGTTGAGTGGTACGTACCAGGTACCATAATATACAAATTTGGCAATCATTGACAGTAGCAAATGTGACACTCACACCATTTTAAATCTTTTGTTGCTACTCGCATTACTTTTTTTGAAGATTCAACTTGAAAAACAGTCGAAATTTAACAGGTGCTAATGAATTAAAATAAGTTATGCTAGATAATAGTTATACTTTTAATCGAAAATAGTTATACTTTTAATTGGACTTAAGTACGATACAAATGAGAAGATATGAATTTTGTTTTCCCACTAATAAAAACTATCCAGTGGTGATTATTCCTATTTTAAATGTTCAGATTTTTTTTTCTTCATAAGATCTCTTTTTTACTTCTTCGTCATTCATATTTAAAATTTTGTTACTCTTAAAAAAAAACATGTAACATGTCATAAAATGCGACAGCTGCCAAATATCATTTTGCAAATTTTATTTACTTCTAATAATCTAACATTGTTGTGTGCTCACAAAATAAACTGCAAATTGATATGCCCATCATTAAATTTTTACAGTATAATCAATCTAACTTTATCTTGTTATAATGCATATTGTGCGGATAGATAGTGTAGGAGATAATAAAAGGGGATGAATGAAATGCAGTATTGAGAAGAGGGGACTGCAGAAGTAAAGTTAATTATTAGGGTCAAAGTATTACCCTTCAAGGAAACACCAATCAATTAGAATTTATGAGTAATTTTAAATGATGCGAACATGAAACTATATGAAAATTTTAGGTTACTGCTATAACACTGCCTGCACTGCAGCGATATATTGGTAGAATGTCTTCATTGTTCTTCTGACGTTACTGTCAACAACATTTCACAAAACGGCACAGAGTAGAAATAAAATAGTGCTTTAAAATATGCAAACCTGTCGGAGACAACATGAGTTAGAATTTCATTTGTATACATACATCAAAACGACTCTTACGCTTTCCTTATTGTTCAATGATTTGTCAACAGAGTGCAGAGTGAAGTTTAAATTTAGCATGGCGATGAGAAAATCATTTTTACAATCGTCCAAACGAATTTACATGAAGGGAGTACTGATTGAAAAGAACATTTTCAGGTAATCCGAGTGTCCTCGAATAGATATTACAGAAAACTAATTCGAAAAATTAGTTTAAAAAGTCGATTCATGTAAATTCTGGAACAATTTATATTTCAACCGTAAACATTCAGCCAATAATCCGAAAATGTTCATCATAATGATGTGTTACAGCTGATCAGAAAATTGGGTGAATTTTCTTACTAACGCTTTGCTACCCAGACTTTGTTTAGTTCGATTAATTGTACGACAGAATCTTGCCGAGAAGATATGTGAGATTTGTTTTCATTACAAGAAGCCGTACTTCTTTAATGATTGGT